ATTGTTTGGGTTTTTTGTGTGTTTATTTTTATATGCTAGATACATATATGTAGGAGGAACTGACAGTGGCCTTTTTATTCTACAGTAAGAGAAATAGTGAAGTCCCAGACTGTTCTTTATATTAAGGAACCTTAGAAAGTTGAATTCTTTTATTACTGAAGAGGAAGAGAATACTTTTTTACTTTAAACTTTTAGTGTCAGGCCTTATACAAAAATACATTTCTTCATTGTTCTGGAACTTGAACCATTTTGTAGAATTTTTTAAATTAATTGCAGGATTTTCATAACCCAAATTATTTGAATGCTTCTTCAGATTCATTTTGTCAATGAGTGCCCTGTATGATGCAAGAGAAATATGAAATAATATGTAGCTATGCATCTTTGTTTAATAATGGGTGCTGTTTCTTTCAGAAGGTGATGCTCTTTTAAAAAGCCTCCATACTCGCCCAGAAAGGTTTGCAAGTCACATAAGAAACCTTGAGAAAGAAGATGCTTTATTGAAGGAAGAAAGCAGTATGTATGATGACATTGTTTTTGTAGATGTGATTGACACTTACAGAAACGTTCCCTCCAAGCTGCTGAACTTCTACCGATGGTAAGTTGAAAATAAAGTATTTTCATATTTTCTCTTAGGAATGGTGCTGTTTGTAGTCCAAGATGATGTAGCAGATTATGTTACTTGATAGGTTCCATGAAATATGTGATTTACTTCATTAAGTTGTATTTCTCTCTCAAAATTTCGGGTGCATGTAGTGAGTAAAATGGCAGTGCCTATAGTTTTTTGAATGCTGATCCTTGGTGCCTCAAATCAGCACAAGCTGGCAAGACAGGCTTCTGCTCTAAGAGTCCAGGTGTAAAAAATGTTCATGTCTCCTTGTAATTTCTTTCCATTTGTATCTAACTGAAAACTAGCAGTTTTAGTATTTTAAAGGATGGCTTTTGGCCAGCTTGTATAGTTACTCAGTGTTTCAGTTTGTGGCTGTTGCTCCAGTCCCACAGTCATCTTGATGGGCCTTTGCTGGACTCTCTGCCCTGTATGGCTGTGTCCCTCTAGTACTGAGGAGTCCAAGACTGCACACTGTAGTCCAGATGTGGCCACAGCAGTGCTGAGTGGAGGGGAAGGATTGGAAGCTTGTGTACAGGGGACTGAAGCCTGATAGGAAGAATTTTCATAGTGTAATTGCATTGTCTGTGGTCAATCTAGTTAGTTTCTACCTCTAATTTGCAGTGATTTCCATTACTCTGAGACAACTGTTTCAGTTAATTGGTGCTGCTGTGGAGTAAGAAATACAGTTGACAGTTGTAATTTAACCAAAATTCATTTTAGTTGCTTTCAAGATTATGCACTTATTTCACAAATTCCATGGCTATGAATGTAACTGAAAAACTGAACCATGCTTTCAGTTTTAAAAGGAGGTTTGCATGTCAAGATTTAGATCTCTGTGATAATTTCTTACAGATTAGCCATTTTTCAAGATTTAGTAATAAAAAGCTTTTAAAAATACTTTTCTTGTTATAAGAAACTACCCTTACAAATGTTTGTAACTAATCCAATGATCCCTAGAATCTTAAGCTTTTTTGGTTATTTTATGTGTGCCATGTTCAACTATTTCAGACAGGTAAAGATAACATTTTTCATGTTTGAAGGTGCATTTACAGAGAAGGAGTGAGTACAGAGTTGTTTCCACAGATGTTTTTTACCACCTGCAGCCTTCTCATTATCCTTGAACTGACTGGCTCGTTCTGAAAGTAGGCTACTGACGTGTAGCCAGTGGCTTTTAACAGCTGTGCTGCCATCAGCATCAGGAATTCATATCCTTCTGAAGTCAATACCGCTTAAGATGGTTTCATTAGTAAATCCACCATCTGTCCTGGAGAACAAAACTTCAAATTTGTTTTCTTCTGCTCATACGCAAGTCCATGTTCTAAGATCATCGTAGGATACAGCTGCATCTCCTTTGAGGCAGTCAGCCTTTGGTCGATAGAGAAAACATTTAAAAGTCAAGGGTAGCAAAGACATTCCTTCCCTCTTTCTTCCCCCCACATCCCAAAAAACCCGTTGCAGAGCATGCTGTCTGTAGTTTGTAGTGTGCAGCTCAGCATTTCATCACTTTTCATTTCGACTACAGGACAGTGGAATCAACGAGTTTTGATTTGTTGCTGAAGACTGATGATGACTGTTACATTGATTTGGAAGCTGTTTTTAACAGGATAATGCAGAAAAAATTGGACAGGCCAAACATTTGGTGGGGAAAGTAAGTTGTTTTTTAAAATTACCTTTAAGAGATAGATACCCTTTCTCTAGTGAATGGTTTAGTGATTTAAGTCTGTTTTCATGTAGGTTCCCCTCCTATGCCTAAGGAAGCCAGTTGTAAAAAGCAGGACTTCTGTACACGTTAAACTTTGAATCTCAGAATCAGAAATCAGTCCTTTACAATAACTTTCCAGAGTATGCCTTTACAGTGATTTAAACTTGCTGAGTATCTTGCCTGGTTTTAAAATGTGTTATAGACATCTTTGTCATGGTACTTAAGTAAATAAGAATTTTCCAGCAATACAGTGAAGTTAAAAGTAAAGTACATAGTACAGAACTATAAATATTACTTTTTATGATGTCACTGTGATTTTTCTGGTGGGCTTGAGGAAGCGGGGTAAAAAGGAGAAACAAAATTTCTGCTATATTCTGCACTTTATAGTAACACCTGTGAATTTCAGGCATTGCTATCCACTTCTGCTGTTTGAAATAGCAGATCTGATTAATAAAATTTTGACTGAACTTTCCCAACCTGTATTACATTTGTGAATAATCAGGAGGATCAAAATAGCCCATATCTTCCCTTCCATCCATGGAATGCACTGCAGCTCTGGTATGACATCCAGTATAGCAGGAACTCTACGCTGCTTCAATATAACATAATGGTGCAATGTGCCTTACTGTTGCCCTCTGCTCATTGAAGAAAAACAGGTCTTTGCTGCTTTGCTTCACAAATCTGGTCCTGCCTGTTGCTTACACATAAAGTGATGTAATAAGGTGTATGTACAAAGATCTGTAGGAGTGACATCTCTAAGTGCAAATTCTTTAATAGTCACAGTCTTCAGCTCAGGCAAGTGTGACGTGTAGGGAATAACACTGAAATAACTATGGAAGTATAAAATGATTATAAAATCATTTAAAGTATAAAAGCAGATGCTTCTCAGTCTGGAGGGGGTTTAACCTTTCGTGCTGATTCAGTGGAGTGGAAGATACTGTGCCTGAAGTGAATTCAGGTATCAGATGAGACTTTCATTTACTTTGTGCTTTAACACATCAGCTTCAGTTGAGAATGGGCAGAATTTGATAACATATCTGGCAGTCAGACGTAATTCCTCCCTTTCGGGGCTGCTGTCTGAGGTGAGTTCTCAGTAGCTCACTGAAGCTTTCAGCTGCTTGTGCTCATGACTGGGAATGAGCAATGCTGAACCTCTTTGTGAAACAGGGGGAGACCCTGCTGCATTGACACAATTATGTCTCTTAGCTGTGACTGCATGGAGCATGTGTGAAGCCAGTGGAGTGCAATAGCAGCTTGTTCCCAAACAGGGAAAGCAGGATGCTTTTCACGGCCTCACTCGCAGTTTGACAGGGTCCATAGCGCTGCTCAGTGCGGCAGCGAGCTCTGCCACGCTGGGAGTGTGTGGGGGGACTGTGCAGACAGAGACTGCTTCCTGCAGGCCTCTGGGGGTGAATAAAGCCTTCCTTAGAGAACACACTGCCAGGAAGAGTTCTTTTGTAATTCAGTGATGGCAGCCTTTGAACATCTCCTTTGTTGAGCTTCATTTGGAAAACAGCTTAGAGAAGGTACTACTGCTTCCTGATTTTTAAGCAGCCACTAGTTTTAACAGGAAAATGGGGTGCATAACATCACTGTCTGCATGTCTGCTGGAGGCACTGCCTTTGTGTCATGTTGATTAACCAAAGGGGTTAATTAGCAGGAGACAGATGTGCCTGTTACAAAATAGGTAAGGCTGTGTGTGCTTACCTAATTCAAAACCCAACAGCAAGGTGTCGATGCTGAAAACCTGATTGTCAGTGTTGCTTTTGTTTCTGTTTTGAAAACTTTCTCTTATTATCCAAGATTGAGACAAAACAACAGTTACAATTTCAGCCTTGTGCCCTAGAGAAATAAGACTAGGAACTATAATTGGGATCATCTACTCTCAGTCATTTGTTATCAGTATTACTTCAGTTGTTATCAGTGTTCATAGGTTCCACAGAGGACTCTCTATAAACATCTCATGTCTAACATGCCTTCAGTTTCAGACTAAATTGGGCAGTTGATCGAACTGGGAAATGGCAAGAACTGGAGTATCCAAGTCCTGCATATCCAGCCTTTGCTTGTGGGTCTGGCTATGTCATCTCCAAAGACATTGTGCAGTGGCTGGCAAGCAACTCTGAAAGATTAAAAACGTACCAGGTAATAAAAATTAGTTCAGTTTTTCTGTGTTAAGTGGTCTGGGGAACAGCATGTACTGGGTGAGTCAGAATGAACATTGTTCAAGTGTTAGTGTTGAGTTCTCTTGGCTCATGTGAGCTTTTGCCATGTTTTTGGTTGCTATGTTTAGTGCCTGTTCTAAGTCAAAGCACATATTTTGGACTGAGAACCTCTGGAGCTGTAATCTTGTTTTTTGTACTTGTTTTTGTAAGAACAGTGTATTGTCACGGGAAAGGTGGGAGGATTATTTTAACACCTCTGCAGTAGTCTGGCGTAGGTTTTTGTAGTTACCATTCTTTACAGATGATGCAACGTATTCCAGGTCACAGTCATGCTTTATGCTTTCTTGGTGCTCATATATGTATTTTTTATTTTCATCTCAGGGTGAAGATGTGAGCATGGGCATCTGGATGGCAGCTGTAGGACCCAAGCGATATCAAGTAAGTCTGAAGGAATTGTCTGACCTTACAGAAGGAGATGCCTGCTGTTCCAAGTAAAATAAAATAAAATGGGAGAAAGGTTTTTTTTCCTTTAAAAATGAATTGCAATAACCATTGAATTAAAATCCAGAGGCAGAAAAATTTTTGAAGATGTATTTGAATGAAAAAACACAAAACTACCACAAAGCACCTGCAGCCTCCATCCCTACCCCCAAGTTCTCTGAACAGGTCTAGCAGATCAGTTTGGGAGCTTTGTGTGCAATGTTTGTTGCTAGAAACAATAAACACCTGATTCTTGGAAGTGAAGATTGTTGGAGACTACATACTTGCTAAGGAAAACTATTGAAATGTTTCTCTCTCTTAACAGGATGGTCTCTGGTTGTGTGAGAAGACATGTGAGAGTGGCATGCTGTCTTCCCCCCAGTACTCGCCGCAGGAGCTGGGAGAGCTCTGGAGATTAAAGGAACTGTGTGGAGATCCATGTAGATGTGAGGAAAGATGATGGACTTGCCTTGGAAAACAGGGCAGTGTATAATGGTGATGGAAAAGTGTACATTTGGATTCATTCCAGGAACAATAAGAAATATTAAGGTACCTTTTAATGCTGGGTTTCAATTAAAGTATAACAATATTTGCACATCCCTTTTGATAATTACAAGTGGACTGATACTATTCATTTTCTATAGTATAGATGTTGATCAGACAAAAACCAAAATGTTCAAGATTTAAAAAAAATCCTTTTTATATAAAGTCAAAGACCTACTTGTAATTAATAAATGCACATAAGAATGCCAACTAGCCTGTCTTTTGTAAATTAAAGCACTACTGATTTGATTCAGTATAGGGCTGTTCCCAGGCTCCTGAGGAGAGTTGTGCTCAGCACCAGGGCAGCTTGGTAAGTCTTGCTGCAGGAGGTTCTCTGCTGAGGGATTGCCCTCATCTGTGCAGAGACAGGGACAGCAGTGGGGGGCTAGGATTTGTGATTACTTTGTTTATACCATTGTTATTTTAGATCAAAATAAAATCAAGGTTTGCTTATACCAAATCTTCAAGTAGTGCAGGCTTGGCCTGATTTAGGAGGGATTTCTGAGAGCTCACTCTGACTAGATATGAATCTGAGGTTACACAAGTGAAAATAAAATAAGATTGAGGAACAGCTGAAGATCGTAAAATAAATAGCAATGCCTTGCAGTGTGCTGAGAACTTATTTATCATGTGGTATGTTAACACTCTAGGATAGAAGAAAGGTCTGGCAGATTTTGACCTTAATCATCTAAGGTAGATACTTCTAAAATTACTACTGGGTTTTGTTCACTTTGAGGTCGGTTGGATGTAGGTGAAAACAAAGAGCAAGTGGCCTCTCAGTGCAGCACTGATCTTGTCTTGTCAGCAAAGAGATCACAACTCAAGCCGGTACTCGGTTCAGTAAAACAAATTCTCACGACTGCTGGGGGCAGGCAGTATAAAATCTTGGCAAAAGGGTGACCTTGAGTTTTATTTAATTGAAGCATTTAAGCACTATTTGGTATCTCTCCAGTAGGACGAATGAGCAGATGTTTTCATGGAGGCTGATGATCAAGTTGAGGAGCTGAAAGTACAGTTGTGCAGCCCTTTGGTGCCACGTGTGTGAAACTCATATTCACCTGTATGTCTGCTCAGGCACAGGCTGTGTGTCTGTCTCTCTTCTGCAGTTCTTGTGTCAGTTTTTCCTTCAGTGCAGCAAGAGAGTCCCTTCTTACCACCGTACTAACACACAGTCTCCACTTTCTATTGAGTAAAACTGCAAAGGCTTTAAGTCATTGTCCAGTTCAACTTCTTTTCCTTCCAACTAGAATAAGAAAGCAAAAAAAAACCTAATCAGACTTACACTGAAATCCCTTCATGTAAACCAAATAGCAGGCAGTTGCAGTCAGGGAGAATCTGCCATATTACAGGAATGAAGACAGCTCTCCTCAAGTGAAATAAATTTCTTTAGATAGTATTTTAAAACATGCTATGGACCTTTAGCAGCATGAAATATTTTGTTGTTGAGTACCCATTTTTAACTCACTTTAGAACTTCCGTAGGACAGTTTCAGGTCCGAACCAGGAATTTTAAATAGGCGATACAGCAGTCCTTTGACCTTCTGAATAGTCATAGACTCTGTGGAGGGGAGAGAAAGAAAAGTTATTAGGAAATGCTGCTGCCACTGTAGCAAAGTACCAGTGTGTCACTTTACTTGCTTATAGCAACAGTGAAAGGCTGTATTGCTGCTTCAGTTCTAACACTGCAATAACATCTTTGGTACCTGAAACCATATCTGCTACTGTCAGGGGGAAAATGGTTTAACCTGTGTGGGATAGGATGTGCTACTACAGATTAAGTACTTTGATCCCATGCACCAAATTAAAGTGTTATGGCTTCATAATTTACCTTTTTTTCAGTTTGTATTTTGACATGCTAAACTAAGTGACCTTTGGGACACACATCAGCCAGGTTCTGACTACTTCCATCTGGCAACTGTTCCTTGCAGTTTTTTTTACCAGGAATTGGCTTTCCCAGCACAAGTAAGCAAATGGCATGGTGGAACTAGTGACATTCTTAGGAATGGTATTGATTTATTAGTCCCAAACACATTGTCAGCAGAGTTCTTTATATTATGAAGTCAGTTAGAGAAAAGGGTATTTTTTGTAATGGATCTTGAATGAGTAGATGTAGTTTGTTCCAGAGGTGATACCTGTGTTTGCAATAGATAAACTCAGTATTTTGGTTGAACTTTCACTTCTTTTGAAGCTTTACCTAAAGGCACAGCAATAGCGAGCTACTCCTGTAATACCACACATTGTACTTAGACAAATATTTTTCTATCAAACATTTTTGTAAAAGCTGTATCTATCTGATTTTATGCAACTTGTGATAATAAATGTGATTTTTATTTTAGAATAAAGCTTGAATTCTTCTTTTCTCTCAGACTTCATTTTGACATATCTTTCAAAAAAATCAGCTTAATTTAGAATGGTCTTATTCATTCTAGTATCACTACAGGCATTAAAACTTTCAAAGGATTAATTTGATGGAGGTCAGAACTAGAATTTTAGCTTCATGGATTAGATACTAGACCTCAGTATTTAGATTTACACACTATGTGGTTGCCTCTTAACACTTCAAAATCTGATCCACCAGATTTCAACCCCGTTAATTGGCCTTTAATTGCCTCAGACATTAATCATGAAACCAGCAGCAGAGCATCAACATTACAACAAAGCATTAACTTTCCATCTTTGTGCTGGACTGAAAGTAAGTATGAAGGCCAGAAGAATGATGACATTACAAACAATGTCTGCCTTTGTAATTTCTTTATGACAGAGGAAAAGCTTTCAGGAGCAAACAAAGCCAGCGGCAACTGCCATTCTTTAATACAGCTGTTTGAAAAGGAGCGACGAAACAACTGCTTGAACATAAGCCAAGACTTCTTACCTGGTAGTTTTTTCTCCACTGGCTTCTGTTCAGGTTTCTCAGGACATTTAATTGTCAAAGCTTAAGGAAGAAGGTTGAGGCATTAGTGAAAGAATGATAAGCCCTGTTCTGGCAAAAGCATAGTCTTTCTAGTCTCTTTTTATTACAAACTGTTTCCCTTAGCTCAGGCCTGATGTCTCAAAAATTAGGAGGTAGCCTGCATCTCAGCAATTAAGATAGCACTTAGTCATTATCTGAAAAATTAATTAATGAAAATAACCACGTTTTTATTCATCTTTGGTAAATTATTGTAGAAGTGACTCCCTAATGCTTAAAGATTAAAGATTTTTTGATCAAAATGAGTATTTACCTAAAAATGCTTAATTTCTATTTAATTTTTTAAAAATAACCTGCAGTAGAATGGAAATTGCTTATTCAGTTTAAAACAGGCTTTTGGTCCTCTCAAAAGCACCATACAAAGACTTTCAAAGGACATCATTAGCCTAATTATTTTACAGAGATTAAAAGACTTATCCTTAAACAAAGGTTTATGTTATGTCTAGCCAATAAGATTCCTTCTTCTATTTAGTCTTCCACCTAAATGCATTAGAATGTAGTGCCTTAAAATACTATTTTGTCCCTGGAGCAAAAAGTTTCCGTTCTTCTATCAGCTGGGAAACACAGCTACATCAATTTGCAAGTTGAGGATGTAACCTAGATTAAATATGTAGACAACCCCAAATACCAAAGCTACCCATGTTTTTCTTGTCTGTCCTAAAGTTAAGAAGTTATTAAAAAGGTAATATCAGTAAACAGAGAAGCTGTCGAGATTAAAACCTGAGATTTTTTTGTAAAGAAGCCATTCACACTGTCAGAATGGAGTATCAATAACCTTTGTTCTCCATTAAATCTCAGTTGAGAAAATCATTTGGCTTGAGTTGAGGGGGGAAATGAGAGTACACAGAATCAGCTTTCCAGTCAAACTCACGGACACAGTTCAGAAAATCAAAATTACAAGCTGAAACTTTTTGTTCTCCATATACACCTAGGAGCCACTAAACTCATAAAATGTTCTAAATGCAGAAGGAATAATTTTGACCATTTCTGGCCTCTTACTCAGGAGCTGATTTTTCAGAGTCAAAGGCTGTTGTCTCTTCAGTTCTCCTTCTTCAGGTGCTCCATATTCTGTTGGAAGAATGTAGAACCCTTCAAAGACTAAACCTTAAGACCTAGGACTGCTGTGGTGCAGGATGAGGCAGGAATTCCCTTGGTACAGCCGTGGTGGCTCCTGCACCAGGCTGTGCTGCAGACACGAGCCTTGTCCAGCTGCTACAGCATTCAGGACAAGGGTGTGCTCCTTAACATTCCCACTGCTGAGAGAGGCACTGAATGGATGGATGCACACAGGTGCTGGGGTCTCCGAGGCCAGGGGCCTGAGTTCCTGAGGCAGCAGTGCCCCAAAGGTGCAGAAGCCCACTGGCACACAGGCTTGCCAAAGCATGGGTTTTCCTAAGGCTGTAGCAGCACATTAAAAAAACACCAAGGGGAAGAGAAATTGAAAACAGGCCAAACCAGTGCCACAATGCCAGAGGTGAGGAAATGCTATTGTACTCTGCTTGTACTTACTAAGACAAAGTGTTGGATATCTGGGATGGGCAGCAAGAAATTCTTCACTAGGTTTGTTTTTCTCTGGGTTCCAATGCCCACCAGCTTCTAGCCAGTCCTTTCCAAATATTTTGCGATAATCAAGTTCTGCTCCTCTTTTTTCAGCAGGAAGGATCTGTACTGACACAGGAATGGCACATAATATAATTATATAACTTATAATATAATTATATAACTTTCCAGAGAATAAAATCTAATCAATGCCACAGACTGCGTGGTCTTACTTGGTGTTCAGTATGTTTCAATGCTACCAAGAATCTTACAAACCGTGTCTCCAAATACTGACTGATCCATATATTCAGTATATTTTAGAGCCATTAAGAGTCTTAAAGCCCCTCTGTGTACTCACTGAACCATAAATGAATATCTAAGCAAAGACTTTGCTGTATATGATGATGCAAGGATGTTTTCTGTAGCAATGGATCAGATGCCGCTTCTGCTCTCCTTTATGATAAACATTTGCTGACAGTTTGATTTGATGTGGATTATGATATTTTCCTATTGCAGAAGGCAAATGTTGGTATTGCTGGCACTGCAACAGATCTGACTACACTGCTTTTTCTATTTTTTCTTTTTTTTAAGAGTATGGTTTTTGTTAACAGTTCTGAAACTTCAACACAATTCAGGCGCTGAGAAAAAACCACCATTGACCCATCTTGTCCCATTTGTGAGCAATGCTCACAAAGAGGGCTCAGTCTTGTACTGAGCTTGTAACTGCCCCACTGACAAGGGGATGGATTAGTTGGCACTTTACTTTTCCTGCACCCAAACAATCAATAATCTTAAAAGAAAGTGAAAACAATTCCTCAGGCAGTGATTTAAATTTTTGCCAGACTCATGAAATTTGTTGAAATATCACACACCTCACAGTTGTTCAAAACCTCCAACTGACTTATCTTGGCAATAATGAGCTGTTTCATGGTCTCTGGATTCTTCTCTGTGTCCGTGAAGGGGTTGTTGTTACACTGCAGCGCCCGCAAACTTGGCAGTTTATCAAGCTCATTGATAGATGACCACTGAAATGGAAGGGAAGAGTCTTTTGAGGAAATATAAAACATAACTTCATTTCAGAACAATACCTGGTAACACTGACATTTCCTGTACAACAAACATGACTGGAAAAATTCTTTCGATCATCCAAACCAAGTACTTGGATCCCGTTCATTTAGGTAAGGAAAGAATTGCACTCCATTTAATTAAAAACCAAACCAAAACAAGGAGTTAGTCAGAACTTTAGATCATTAGAATTCTGTGAGAGAAATTACAAGGTAGATGCCATAACATAAACGTGGTTTTTAACTGTTCAGAAATATTTTTATATTTTTAAACTATGCCTCTGTATTGACCAAAGTGTTCAATAGTTACCGGAGATCCTACACATAAAATCAAATTTTAAAAAGCAAACATAAAGTTACTCTTAAACAAAGATGCGTTAATTTACAAAATGTGAAACCACCACAATCTAACCTACCTGTGATATTTTATTGTCATTTATTGCAAGGCGTTTTAGCGAAGGAAACATTTTAGTTTTGCATCCTAGGAAAAGAGTAACAAGAGAACAGTGAAAACTTTAAATAAACAGAATTTTAAAACTATAAATAAATTACTTATTTTACATACCAAATCCAGCATCAGGAAAGTGTATGGAAGATATCCCAGTGTTTCTAAGTATTAGCTGTTCTAATCTGAAATTTAATACATACAATGATTACTGTATGTGGCACAGGAAGTTATTTGCAAAGACATACAACCTGATTTTTTTCTTTTCTTAATAAAGATCTGCAGCTTTTGATGTGGTGCAGCACCACTGACAAATGAAAAGCAGCCTCACAGTACCCAGACTTTGGCTGTGTTCAGGGAATCAAATTTTCAGCTAGTAAGTGCAACAATTTCAAGCTTTCGTAATGGCTCCTGGATTTAAAATGTGTGATTTTCTAAATAATTTTTTTAAATAGCTTGTGGCTATTGAAAATCATGGCTGCTGTTTTGATGTACAGGGAAAGATGATAATTCTGCAAATTAGCAAAATGTGGTAAATCACTTCTATTTCATAAGTGTATAATGAAAACCTAATAACACACAGCAGAAGAATGTGTTGTTATACAACAAAACCAAGATTATATTAAAATAGTTCAACTAAATAATGCAGTTACTCTCCTCAAGAGGGCAAAATATGCCTCTATTTCAAGATCTCATGAATTTTTCATGCACCATCAATACTATCATATTTCAGCCAACAGGGACTATGGAGATGAATATCTAGGACAAAGAATTTCCAGCAAATTTGTTTACAGCTACCTGGGGAGCTGTGCTATGAGATGCAGCTGATTTCCATCCAGTAGCTGGTTGTCTGAGAGGTCTAACAACTTCAGGGTCTGCAGGACATTATCAGGCCTGATACATTGGAAAAAACAAGCACAATACCAGAATATTTAAGGTTATTGGTCAATGAAAACACTATTTTCCTAAGTATATAATTGCATGCACACAATTGTGCACATTTATAAATGTTCTGAAATACATCATGTGAAATTTGCATCAATTATTGTGGAGATGTAAATGCTCCAGGAATGTAACTTTATGTGCTGTGTAACTTTGTGGTACACCAGTGGGTAACAACTGACTGACTCATGTTACTCACCTTTCCAAAACTGTAATATTATTAGAAGAAAGGTACAACTCTTCAAGTACTGGCCATCCTTGAGCACAAAGAAGAACCTAAGAGCAAAACTGTATTTAATATAACAAAAAATGGGAATATTTCAGAAATTATATTTAATGCAAATATGCTCTAAATGTGTTCAGAACAAGCTATGGGTCCCCACACCAGAGGAACAATTATTAAAGATTTTCTAGTCTTCCCTTTCTTCCAGATGGCTCTCCTGTGCCTGCATCTACCAGCACAGATGACATCAAAGGGGTTCTGCTGTCACAGGACTGTAAGTCCCAGGCTTGTGGCCACCCTCACAGTTGAGACTGGAAACTGAGTGACCTGGAAACTGAGTTAATTCATTCAGTGAGTTGGAGTGACGAGGTATTCCCTATGATGAGGTGAGGAATTGGCTGTACAAACTCTATACATGTGCAGAAGTTCCAGAACCTATGTGTATAGCTAATACACATAACACATCTGACAGAATATCTTTAATATGTTAATTTTTCAGAGCTTGAAGCCTTTTCTGTCTTGGAACTGTGTCACCCTATAATCCACTAAAAGCCAAGAATTGCATTAATTCAACACATCCTGAAGTTTTCAAGCTCTCTAAAGAAAATAAATTAATTCAAAAAGGGCTACAAAATGAACAAAGATACTTTTGGTTTAGATCTTGTGCCCTGAAATTGCATAAAAGATATTATTTTACTTTACACAGTTTTATTTAACTTTACGCAGCATGAATCCATCCAGCTGCAGGTCTATATAACTGACTCATAACAGACTCCATGCCAAGGGTAAACACTGAGATCTCCTCCAGAGGTAGCCAATGATTTGGAACTCAACTGTTTCACCCCCAAAAATATGGAAAACCAACCTCCTGTCATATCTGTAACACATAAACACAAACTTAGATGTAACAACTTTTCCTGTTCCAAAGCAAGAACAGGGAACAGATATTTCTGGATAGTGTTTCCCCATGTCAACAAGATAGACCAAAATAGTTATCCATTGGTGATGAAGAAGCATGACAAGAAACCTGCAGAGTCAAGAGAAATGAGGTACATGTTCAGTAACAGAGATTGCCCCACAACAGCCCAGCACTGGTATGGATGGATGGAATAAAAAAACTGCACAAACCTGAAGTATCTGAAGATTTTTCAATATGACTAGAAAATTGCTAAATTATAGGTCACAGCATGATCAAAAAACCTCAAACTGCTAAATTTTCAGCTACTTTTTAAAATAGCTTCCTCAGAAACAAAAGTTCACAGATCTGACACTGTGAATTAACCCTCAGGAAAGACTGGGGCCTCACTGTGGGATAGCTGATGGGGAGGTAACAAATACCCAGAAGAGAGCCACTGATGCTCAAAACCAGAAGAATGGAAATGCAAGAGCTATTGCAAAACAAATAAAGATGAGAACAAGAAACAATTGTCACCATATAAGTTCATGACATTCCTGTATCTTTAGTCTGTCTATCCCAGGAAGTAAATAGTGTAATTGGGAAAGGCACAAAGAAGCTAAACAAGAATTAAAACCATGAAACGGAGAATAGCTGTTCTCAGTTTAATATAAAACATTGGGACTTACTGAATGAAATTACCAGACAGCAATATCAACAAAAAAGGTTGAATTTATGCTAAATGATACACACAGCAAAATTTTCAAATGGGTTCTTAATACAGTTAGATAAATCAAGAAACAAAAATATCCATAAATATTAATTAGAGGTATATAGTTTTGAGCTCACAAAGCCACACAATTCCAGATTACTTTCTAAGAAGCTCTTACCATGTGCTTACCCTTTGCCTACAATTTTTCCCAACTACCTGCTGCTACTTGCTAGTGTCAGAAGCATGATCCTGCACTTCTGTTCTAACCCAGATTTTTCTTTTACCCTACATAATAGTAGATTATATCATAAATATAAAATCTTAGTTTGAAAACAGAATCACAAATATAACATTATGATTTAAATGCTGAATAAGAAAGAAAGGGTTTGGAGCCATAAATATTAATTCATTACACTCAAATGCATTAATTCAATTTCTAAGTCAATGGCTGCTAACTTTAAGTTATTTTACAGAACACTTTTCCCCCTTGAAAGTTATATGTTATGTTTTGAACAATCAATCAACAATTCTACAGTAATAACCTCTTTTACTGATATACTAATAATCTCAGAAGTATTTAGATATATGCAAATCATATACTAATGAAAGAATTCTTTCTGAAAAGTGATGCTCAAGGCACGTGAATGTGGAGCTATGTATTACTGTTAAGCATGTCCCTCTCCTGTGAAAAACACTTCAAAACAGAGGAACAAACTAAAAAAAAAAAGTATAACTATCCCAATGCCATGTATTCTTACATATAACAAAAAGTAATTTTGAAATGCTGTTCACCATTTAATTGTTTTAATTAAAATTAAAACACTCCTAAGACTTTTGCTTATATCCCCATTGACAATTTAAATGTTTTTCTCATTTGCTTTGATTATATTCATTACTATTTTCTATTTGAAAGTTGACTTTTCAAGTAACTCCCCTCAGAGCTTGAGCAGTGACATTTTCAAGTGGTTTGTTCACAGAGTACTGATGTCAGGCACATGCCTTTATTTCTCCCCTTTTGTTTGACTGCCCTGGAACACCACTTTCAAGCAGAGGCTTATGTCTCCTAATGTCTCCTAACTTACAGGGAATGAATTGGAACAAACTTATAAAACAGTTTTTGGAATCAAAGATGTCTTTATGGCCAATGACAAATCATCAGCTAAAGCAGAGCTTAAAAAAAAAAAAAAAAAACAAAACCCACAACACAAAAGCTGCATAATTTTAAATTGCTCTGGCTAAGCTGGGGCTTTCTCACTGCAATTGAGTTAGCCCTGGAGAACTCTAATCTGCAGCCATGGCTCCAACCAGCCTTTCAGTCACCCCATGGAGGGATGAAGGACAGCTGCTGGCAAGTGCCAACATTTTAAACACCACAATGCACAGATTTACTCTGATGAGCACTAGGTGACATTTAAAGTGTTTGTAGCCACTTAATTCTTCCATTCCCTTCACCATTCATGTTGCTGCTACTACGGAAGGATTAGCAACTGTCCTGCCACAAATCCCATAGGCAGTTTTAGGAGCACAGTGAATGGACACTAAACAAAAACACAGCAGTGACCTTCCTCTAGTCCTGCTGCAAGACAAGAGAATGGAGAAGCTTCTTTCTATTCAAGCCCCAGTTTTGTTAAGTGCTCTTTTACTGGATAGCAGCTGGCAGCTGAAATCTGAAAAGTCATGTAATTTTACAATGCCTTACTATAAAATCTGACCCTGAGAAATCCAAATAACAGTTTGGAATTTAGAAGCTATTCTGAGTAACATGACGCTGAGATGCATGTCCTAAGCCCCGTCTCTGACAAAAGGCCCACTGCTAACTATAGTTGAAAACAGGACTTCATTCCTAATAAGACATCATACCAGGAGAGAGTCATTTAAGTGTGCACATGTTTCAGTGCCTGAAACAAGTCAGAGCTTTGTTTTTCCTCTGCTCTGTGCTGCCAGTAACCAGGCATCATGTGGTTCAAGAATGATCAGTATGGGCCAAAATACCAATCAGTCTCTTGCTGATGCAAAGTGATGCCAAAACAAAGTTTTTCTCATCATAAGGAAATATTTTCTTTCTATTTGCATTTGTCCTATTGCATACAGAGAAGTACATGTAAATCTTCAACAGCTACCAGGAACCAAAAAGTTTTCATTAAAAAAAAAAAAACTTCAGGACATGAAGCTATATTGTATTCCAACTGCTTTCTTTTGATTTGGCAATTTACAGATGTAGATGAAGTAAAATGTTTCTTATTAGACTCCTATGCCAATATTACTTCCTTCATTATGTAGGAAGTGCATTAGTCAATGTGTAACTAACACAGTTACCCCACAGCACCTTTTCTAATGATGTTTTGATTTCAGTAGAACAATACAGTACACAAATGCTTATTGTGCTTCCCTTGCCTCAGAAACTAATGATATTAAATTTTAAAAAAATCAGGAAAAGCTATTACCTCTGTCCATGTTATTTCAGTTTGATTAAGGGCCAGAATCTTCAAGTTTGAAAATGCGCTGGATGTAAAAGTTGATGTAGATGGAAATCTCATTTTGTTTTCACTGCACAAAAAAAAAATTATTTGCATAATGAATAATCACATTTATTTAAGTCATTAGTTTGGAGCTACACATTAAAGAAAAAGAAATTTAGACCCTCCAAAAATTAAAATCACTGCCAAGATGTCACATATTTTAAAATATAATAAAATATATTTCTAGTTATATTCAAACATACTCTTTCCTAATTTACTCTCCTGCTTCCAGAATGCATATTTATTCAAGAAGGCATATTTATTCCCCTGTGGCCTCTTTCACTAAGTTTTTAACATGAAAAGAATGATTTTCATTAATATTAAATGAAAGCCAGAGCTTGGGCTTAAACTCCTTAGTGTTGACTGAAAATGAGGAGCCTACACGACCATCCAGACTCCAGCAAAACAAAAGTATGTAAAATCCTCTCTCAATAGGTATCACTACAAAGAAGAAAAGATAAAGATCCTCAAATTTGCAGTCTTCAAATCAGTTTTCATTATTCACTCTGAAAGAGAAGTTTTTATTTCTTTCCTAAGGCCTAATCTACCTGCATATTCTCATAAAAATCTCTCAGTGTAGTTTATAGCTACATACTTATGGGTAAAATTTCCACATAGAGAGCCGGTGGATGGTTAATCACTTTTATTCTTCTTCCAACATTCCTTGCACAAAAAAAATCAGTAACAGATTTACCTTCTTTCTTTTTTAAAGCAAACAGAATGTCAAAACAATAAAAAACTGATTCAGACTATATCAGTTTGTAGTTGTAAGCATCAGATTCTGGCATCAATCTCATTTTGTTTTACATTTTTTTTTACAAATAACTTCTGAAAACCCTTCAGTCTAGAGTACACTTGTCAAAAATGAAAAACTGAAAAAATTATTCCAGGTGAATTAAAATAAATTTCTCTGTATTCTCATGCATGCTGATAACAATAAATCTTTATATTCTCTAGGCAAATTTAGATTTACAAACAGCACCAGGTTGCAAACAGCTGTTCATTGCTAAATATTGAAGGAAATGGAGCACCTACAACTATTTTTAAAATACATTTTTGTCTCATTAATGATAATAAATAAAAAACCTGGTGATTTAGGCTGCTACCTAGTCCATTGTGTTACTTGACACCAGAAAATTATTGTGGCATATGCCAATTACATTGTATAGGTGTGTACTAGAAACGTTCTTTACTTTAGAATTATTTTATGAATTTTCTTGTTTCAATAGCATTGGAGCTTTATTTAACAACATCCCCCTTCCTTTTCCAATGTCATCATCGTACAAGAAATTTTCCCCTAGATCTGTCACCATGATCATAACAATTTCTTATCAGCATCATTTTAGGACAAAAATAGACCAAGGTTTGGGATCATTATGGTTTAGTTAAAGCATTATGGATAATTAAGTTTAGTGTCAAGACACAGTTGGCTAAACAAAAGTGGGTTCTTAAATGCAGACTTGCCTGAGCAGTCAGAATGTATCAAGAATTAAAAAAACCCCAAAGATCAAGTCTTAAAACTTTGAAGAAAATGTTCTCCAGAACATAAGTTTTACACAGAAGCTGAACTCCTAGGGTTCTTCTTGAATACAGATGTCAAAAAAATATAGCCCACAACTTAAGCAGTTGCTTACAAACAAGATTTAAAAAAAATTAAAAAAAAAACCTTAACTCCCATTAGAATGAGTCTTGTATCCAGTTACATTTAGAAAGCTGAATCCTGAGCCTCTTGGCTTTTGTTCCTACCCCAAAGGAAGAGAAACCCAAATATGAATATTTATACCTGACATTAAGAGTTTCCAGATTTTGAACTTGAGAAGCAATAGCTACTACTGTCTCCCAAGATGATATCAGATTTTTTGATAGGTTTATATGCCTCATATCTTAAATTTCTTGTTAAGAAAAATAAACTTATCCCAAAATTGAACTTCGTTTTTCAGAATTAGAATTAGGGTTTCACTTTGAATCATGGAGAAATAGATTACACTAAGGGATGGTACTGCTCAGTTACAGCAAATTTTATTTTGATGTGTGATATGGAAATGGCTTATAACTTTATAAAAGAGCTCAACCATACAAATCCTCAAATGGATTAATTTCTATACTGACAGGAACTCTTATAAGGCCTTAAAACTTAACAAATAATAACCGCTTTGTAGTTTTGTAACACTACCACTGCATGCATTGTACTAAACACATTATTTGTTATATATTGGAAATCTCTGGTGTCTACAGAACATATCAGTTCTATTTCTATATGGTTGTCTATTCTAGGGAATTTAAAAAAAAACAACATTGCTGGAGATTTCTGAAACTGCAGTCACAGTAACAACCTATGACTACACTTCTATTTTTACACACAATTTGAATATCCTCTCAAAATTTGTAGACGCCTGGCTGTCTAACTTTTTAACATTGCATTCAACTTTTAAATATAAACTTCAGGTTTAATTTTTTTCTTTTTTTAAATAAAAGGATACAATATCATTCATTGACGTGAACACTTGGAATGCTAAAGCATGTACTTTATTTGTGGCATCATGCAATACAGCAAAAAAAGGATACTGGCACACGTTCTGCTGATTTCTTCTTCCTGACCAGCATGGCTCACTGCACACTCACGCACTGAGATATCCACCAGTTTGTTCAGCTGTCTACATGAGAAAGAACATTCTGTTAGGTAATCTTGAAACAGAAATAGGTATGTTACATAAATGCCTGGTTTTTACAACTACATAACATCCTTTTCATGCCTATCTCCTTTGGACTTAGCAATGTGCAGATTACTACACTGCAGAGTCATTCACACTCGAAAAGAGATACATCTCTATTTTTTGCCTTTACATAACTACTACAAAGTAAGTCTGGCTGAACCATAGTTCTAACTGAAATAAAGAGTGGTAAAACAGATTAAATATAGCTGCGCAAATTAGAATTTAATTAGAGATTCCAAGTTAAAAAGGTTTCTTGCAACACATTTTGCAAAAGGTTCAGAGTTATTGGGGCAGTGCTTAGTATGCTCTGGGAGAAAAGGAAAATAGTTGTGGAATATCAGCTCAGAAGAAGACTGCCACCTACTGAACTAATACATCTCTTCTGCTGGAGGCCATTAGAACTGCAATTTATAACACATAATTAAGTTTCTTCCTTTCTTACCCTTCCAGGTACATGAACATGACATTAACAGATTGAAAAACTTCACTAGCAGTACAGTGACTTTCTGTGTCTTCCCTCTCTTGGTTACAAAGTCATTTGTGATATGAGTAAACAAAGACTACAAAACACTGTACAATATTAACAAAACATTAAAATACATCTATTTTTAAAAGACCATGCATGTATATGATGACTGCCAACATGATGATAATTTATCTCTTATTTCTCACCAGATGTCATCATCTGCTCCTTCATGAAAACCACAATGAGGACTGTTAGTACTCAAACATGACATAATCCCGGTTTGTATTTGTAAAACCTGTAAATTACGAATTCACAACTGGAAGACATCTTGTTTCCACCACAGTGCAATCTGGCTTGCTTTTAGACGCAACAATTTTATATGCATGGCAGTTCTTACAGTTGAAATACTACTTGACTTATCAATCACTAATCATGTATCTTAAATTTTCATATATTACACTTGCCTTTGCTGTTCTGCAACAGAATCCATGCCAACAAATTCCACAGTCTTCGTTCCAAATACTACTGTATTCCCTGTCCCACACTGAACATCCTGCTTATCATTCAGTCCATACCGATCCTTTACTGCAGTAAGAAAACCTACTCCAAAATTTGCCTTGTTGGGCCGGATGAACGATCCTCCTTTCGGATGCCTAGAATAGAGCAGCCAGGAAAAGTTGAAATATAAACAGTTATCTTAACAATGACTGACTAATTCATTATTGCTTTAAACAAAAGTACTGAGAACCAAAGCAGTCAAAAGGCAATTCTACAGACTAATTGTAAACAGCACTGTTCCCAGCGAGCCAGGTAAGACTTTCAGAGTATCTTTGATAGTACTTGATACAAGCTCACATAGTGAGATTCCATGAGACTGGAGCACCAGCTCCCAAAATGTACTTGCACATCAAAATTACAGTGTCAGTGCCATTATTAAAAAGAACTGCTCTGTTATTTCCAAACTCATTATGAAGTCAGGTTCTGCAGAAAATGAAGTTTCTACCTATGGATAGACACAAAGTTAACAAAATCATACAACAAATGTGCCAGGATTTTTACCAAAGCCTGAGGAATACTCAGAATAGTGATTGCTACATTGTATTTGACTTCCATAATTCACTAGTAGTTCACACAAATACACAACATACAAATTGTAGCACTCAGAACTCTTATACAAACACAAACTTCAAAAAATCCTGATACCAACTTGGTAACAATGTTGAATATTCAACAGAAATATCCAACCAGTAATGTATGTTTAAGACAGTCCAGTGGAGTTTCTTGGTTTTTCTTGAGCACTGAAAAAACTTTGTTGCATTCCCGTGTCTTACCATGTAATTCCTTTGATATTTTCTAACAAAGTTAGCAAGGAAACAGTATCAGCGAAGAACTAGCAGAGACAAGTTACAGGAATGGTATCACAGAGCAGATGAGGCTCTAATAGGAGCATCAGCCAAAAAACATCAGGAAGAAAACTGGTAGCTATGAATATCTGTCTGCCATCAAGCTGAGAAGACAACAGGCTTTGGTAGGAAAGTGCCCAGGAGGAAGACATCACTTATGTAAATAAAACTTTTCAAAACAGCATGTAAGCATCAAGTGTCTAATTAGCAAACCATAATATAAACCACCAGTGCTACAAAGTTCAAAATTCTCATAGAAAAAACTAGTAATTAAAGGCCCCAAATCTTATGGACCTATTACAAGTAGATGGAATAGTTTGGGCACCATGTATTCACATTTTTGTTAAAAAATCAGTGCTGGAAATTTCCTGCGCCAGTTTCATTCTACTCTCATATCCTTAAGGACCTAAGTAGAAACTCAATATTATTTACTTTCAAAATAATTTCAGTCTATTTTTGTAATGACTATGTTTAGAGTGTAATGATTACAAGAGAAGCAGAAAGGCAAATTACTAAAGAATATAAATCTGGTATGAACTCTTCCTATTTGATAAGCATTTTCAATACATCTTTAATCCAGTAACCTACTCTTAAGTAATTTCTTCCATTCCTTTGAAATTCTTCATAGCTTGCAAACACTTGACTGATTTAAATATTGAACTTTCTCAAGTGTAAAAATGATGTGATTCTTTCTTAATACCTCTTCTTTAAACAGTAAATTACCTTTTTACAACCTGAACTAGAACATCTCTTGCCTCCAAATATATCACTTCTGCATTTCATTAAGTCAAACAGCTTCATAGATGGCAGATAGTACAGGATGCTGCTTGGGGCTCTGGAAAAAAATCCTTGTACTCTTGTCTATCTGTAATTCACACTAGGTTCTGCTGTAAGTTTATTCTGACAACAACTGTCCAACTTCCTATCATCATGATTTTGTCATCACCAGCCCTCTACACTCAACAGTTCTGCTCTCCTCAACCCTCTCACCAGAGCTAATCTCGACCTCACTTCTGCATTCCTCCTGTCATGTCATTTATCCCTATCATAGCCAAGATCTTTGGGTCTCTCCATCACCATATCCATTCCTAAGCCCATTTCTGTCCTGTCAGGTCACCACTTCTATTGGTATCTCCTTCTTCATTTTCCATGCAGGAACCAGTTCTATCCTTAGGGGGGAAAACAAAACCCATAAAAACCAACAGATGAACATAGCTACCCTGTCCCCCTGTCATATAAAGCCATAGGAAAATTTTAGTGTATTTATCTCTCAAGACCCTTCTCTTTTTGTCCTGATCATAAGGTCATAGGTTTTCTCTCTCCTGTTGCTCACTTCCCATTACTCTGCATGCTATTATAAGTTACCTAATGTATATTTAAATCCATTCCACAGCCTAAGCTTTTCAGTTCCAGTCTATTTATTTGATCTACTTTTTTAGGAACTGTCACAAAAGACAGGAAAGGAAACTGCAATAGGAACCTATTTTCAGGCAAAATTATTGTGCATTCAAGGAGAAAGGTCATTGTAGCTCATTTTTCCTAAAACACATAGCCTGTATTAAATTTCCCATTAGGACATATGAACTGTACAAGCTGCATGTACATATCAAACAAATAATGCACCTGGACTAATGCAAAAACACACCTATTACCATCAGTCTCCATAACTGCGAACTAAACAGATAAATCCTAATCCAAAGAGTCATCCAGCATGCATATTATGAACTGGAAGAACCTGTGGATTACTGATCAACTTCACTTAAGAGGAACACTCAGAAGTCTGAGAACATGTATGCAAATTGTCTTGCAGCCAGAAAAAAACACTGTGTGGAAAGAGAGTGGTAGAAGATATGGCCCAGTTTTCTTAAGCAGGAAATGTAGAATATGCTCAAGTGGAGCTCTGGCAAGTGGCTGGCTCTAGTTAATACTGACACTTCCTACTGACTTTTAAAATAGAGTGGTTGACCCCAATCTCAGAAGTCATCTTCTAGGACACTTCCTATTCATGATTCAGTAGCCTGAAGCATACAACCCATCTGCTGGCACACCCAGGGCACTTCAAGGATATTCATTAAAATTTAGATGAGCTGTCAGCTTCCACTGAATCAGGAGGAAATTTGGCATCATTCTTTGCTAATGTGGGACACAGTCATGGCACTGCTCATCATTACAGGTACACGATGGCTCTTCATATGCAAGGGAAATATCACACACACACACTTCTCAGTACTGAAGAAAAATGCAGGAGTACATAAATCACAACAGCTCCATACTTGAGCTGTCTGACTGCAAAAGCTCTGAGCCATGCAGAGAGATGTCAGCTTTATCAGCCTAGGCAGTAAACATGGATCAAAGGGCTTCTTTGCCCAGTGCAGTCTGTTTGCAATGATCAACTCCAGGCAATTACCATCGTGACTGCAGCAAATGCACTACAAGGCTCATAAGGTGTCATAAAGTGGAGCTGTTTGAATCCATGCACGTCTGTTCTACACAGATCTGAACAGATCTCTTCCTTCTAGGGGAAGGTGTTCAACAGACAAAACTTCTATTAGAAGAATCTACACACTGCAGTAAAGAAAATCCTTCAAATTTTAGAAAGAGGCCATGGCACCAAACAATGCTTATAAATGACACCTAAAACTAACCTGCCATGGTGTATCAAATTCAACTGAACATCAGAAGCTTTGCAAGCATGAGCAAGTATTTAAAGTTCTTGAAAGTTTACCTTAGTTAAACAGACATGAAACTTGACTCTGAGCTTTCAAAAAACAAGGAAAGACAGTCATCTGCAGTTTTAGCTGCTATCTTGGGGTTCTGCTGGTGCCCAGGATATGTTTGAGCAGTGATTAGGGACAACCTTTTGTTTCAACACGATTCTACTGGCAGCAAAGAGTGTGAGTTTCTGATGAACAGAACTTCTTAACTGAAACCTCCTCAGGAATCTTAGGAATGCTTTCTGCCTTTGCAAAATGGAAATAATTTTTGTTTTCATGGACACTAAAATGATATTTTTTCCTGTATTTGAAGAGTTTGTTTGTACTCTAGGTAGATATTCCTGGAGGGGAATGTGTCACCCTTGAAGAAAAAATAGCCTAATTTAATAAAAACAGACCTTTCATGGAGCAGAACATCTTGAATCATCATGGAGCAGATCATCATGCAGTAAGTATAGGACAACCAGGGGAGGAAGATGTGCTTGTAACCCACATTTCCCAGGGGAACACATGCATACAAATATGTCAGTGGGTCTGTGGGACAGGATCTTATTGGAAAGCACACTCATGTTTCAAAAGCTGTATACAAATTTTAACACTGTTTTAAGGCTTGATTACTCATTTCTCTTGAAGGACTGCAGAACATAATTACATTATATACCACTGCAACTGACAGCTAAAATAGTAACTTCCTCAGTTAAGAAATAAGATCCTATTATCAGGGAAAAACCAAACACCAAACCAACAGTAGATTGTGCATTGCCATTTCCAGCTGATACGAGGTTGATGAACATGCTCGTGATGTCAGCTTAATTTGAAGTATGGCTGTTTTGTTCTTCGATATTCATATTCTTAAGTTGTTCAATTATCACTACATAATGACCCAGAAAAACGTACTGCCATGAAACATAAAAGTTTAGGTCACATTTTCAAAAAACCTACTATAGAGATCACATAGAGCTGTAAGCAGACCTACTGTTTCAAGTAAGGACTTGAAAAAAAGAAGATTCTCTGGTAATGAGAATCTCAGAATCAGTTTTATTTTCCTCTTATGGTCTAATTTTCAAATGTCACTCTGAAAGATGTATTTTTTTAAAGCAGTTATTTTTAAAATTGCCTTAAAAGCAATTTCGAAATGTCCTTTCACTGCATTTGTTTACAGTACAAGCTACTTGATCAGCTGCTTCTGCTTATCAGAATTCAAGGAGTGAGCAAAGTAGGCTTGTAGGCAAAGGATACTCGTGATAAGGTGTAAGGGGAAAAATACAGCATTTTTTTAAGACGTGTATATTCATCTACAAAGAAACATTATTCTCTCCTAATCAGTAGCAGTAAAGAGGTGATGTTTTAAGTTGTGGGAGGGTTTTGTTTTTCGGCATCCATTTGCTAAAATAAGGTAAATATTTCTTACTTAAGTTTGCCTACATTTTCACAATAGTCAATAGAAGAACTACAAATGTGTCTGCACCCAGGAAGTTATGTCTGCGTGTCTTGGTGGACTGCTGGAACTATGTGTTCTCTTAGACTCCAGCAGAACTTCTTCTGATTGGAAAATAGCAGAGTACAAAGAACAGGTATTGAAAGAACAACATGTTTAAAGACCAAACATTTACATTTGTTATGCTATTGAGCTTCACTCAAAACATTAATTTTTACATCAAGAATTAAGGTTACTATCTGAGATCTCATCTCCTAGAAGCACACTAATGGCTGCTAAAAACCCAAGAGTCTATACACATATATATAAATATCATATACACAGAAATGTAAAGCAGTTGAGTTTCTGAAAAACATTCATGAAATCTTCAATTGCTTTTTCTGTCCAGAAAGATTTGGAATGGTCAGCCAATTATTTCTGGATTTTTTTTTTCTCCTACAGCAGAACTTAGCTAGCTTCAACTTGGAAACTGTTTCAATTAAATTCAAAGCATTTAGGAAGCAACTTCCACTAATATATTAATTTTAAAGATATGGTCGTGCTAAAACCATCATTTCCAATTCTTTAGCTGAAACAAAACATCCAGCAATGTTGATTTTTTTTCTTGTATTAAATGTGTTTAGCCTCCTTAAGCCTTGTTTTATTATTATTTGATACAAGGGAAAAAAATATCCAGTTCTCAGAGGTCAGTGTTTTCTTCTTTACTTATTTTTCTGAAGAACAGATTTTGCTCTCTCATCCTTCACCACTTCTATGCTCAGGAACTTATTGAGCTAGCAGTTTGTAGTATTTAAGAGCTATTGATGACTTTCCTCTATCAACTCATCCAGTTACTATTTAACTTACAAACTTTAGCTGTTGCATGTGTCCTGATATAGAAATCAACAACTTGCTGCAGTTAATATCCATCCTAGAGTCCTATATTCTGCAATTTCAAACATGTTAAGTGCTCAAATCCTTTCACTTAAAAGTAATGCATGCATATATTTAAAAACCCCACACAGCTGGACTATGTTTTGCGTGTACTAAATCCAAGGAATATATTTAACAATTCCTTAGTGATACAAATACAACCCAAATAATTAGCAGGAACTTGGCATTTTCCCTTAACAAGATGCATGCAAGCCACCTTAAATTAAAATATAAACTGTATTTGGAACACTTGATATGGACCAATATTTTGGTTCAGAATTATCGACTGAAAGTCACTAGGAAATACTGATTTCCTAACTAAAGTAAAAGGTCTAAAACCTACTAAGAATAATAATAACATCCAAAAGTCTCATTTTATAACATACCTCTGCAAACATGACTTGTATTTTCTAAGTATTTACTATACCCTAATACCTGTAACTGGATAAATGTCAATGCAAGAGCCTCTATGGATTAGCTAGTCAGAGCACTCAGAATTATGATCTTTTTCATACTGGCCAACTGATAACAAAAGGATTTGCCCTAAAAATTGTCAAAGGGACTTTCCCAATGACCATCTTGCCAGCACATATGATATGCCAATGCTGTGACTCAACTCACCTGCACTTAAAATACTGTGTTCCTTCATAGCTGCCATCATGCTTTCCCCTCTGAGGATCATCCCATTCCACACCAAGCCAAATTCCTGAAAAAAATGGTTGATAGTTTTTCAAATTTATAGCATCATATCCATAGAAATCGCAGCCAGAAAGAACCACTGCAGCTCACCTAGCCTAACCTTCTCTCTCAAAGCAGGAGATTATCAGCAGCACCAAAAAAAGTCAGGTAATTTGTTACCTAGCCAGACCTTAAAAATGTCCAAGGAGAGAAAGATTGCAACACATCTGGTGAGCATAATCCAGTGCTGCATTTTAATGGAAAAGGTTTTCCTGCTGTGGCCATTATCCTTTATTGTATATTCTAGTACTTGTAAGAAGAGTTAGGCTCTGCCATCTTTGTAACCACCTGTCAAACAGCTGCAGGAAGCCACTGGATGGCACTTTTTCTTCCCTTCACCACATTAACCAAACCCAGACCACTCAACCTCTTCACAACACATGTGTATGGTCTGTGCCCTTAACCACCCTGGCAGTCCTCCAAGACTCCTCAAGAGAGATCTTTGAGATCCTCTCAAGTTTATCTGCATCTCTCTTGAACTGGAATAGTTCCACAGCAGATACCTTACTTCAAGTGTAACCTTGTCAAGAACCCCTGCCCCCATAGAGGGATAACAGCTTTAACTTGCAGGCCATGTTCATCACTTCCCTCTAAGGTAACCCAGTACAACATGTATCTTTGCTTGTTACAGGGGTCACTGCTGGCTCATATTCATAACAGTATCCAACTTAACTCCCAAGCCCTTTACATCAGACTTTGTGAGTCACTAGTACTTCCTGGTCTGTACTACACATGGAAATTTATCCTTCTTGAATCTCGTGGGTTCAAACCTAAAGTTCATAAACCTTGATCTGGATTGCAATTCTATCTTGTATCACAGCAGCCATTTGAGGGTGAACCCTGTTCATCACCCAAGTCACTGAGGAATACATGAAACAATACACACCCCAGCATTTACTTTTGTAGTACTCACTCATTACAGATAGCAAGTCATTAATTACTTTTTCACTTGACAACTTCAGAATCATTTAAGAGTCCATTCACCTACCTTGTATTTCTTCAGCTTCCAAATAAGATTCTTTATGGAAGCATTACCCAAAGACTTACTGAAGTCAAGGAACATTGACTTGTTCTCCCTTTATCCACATTCAGTCATATCATCATAGAAAGTAACTACATCGGCCAAGCACAACTTCTTCTTATTTACAAGTACCAAATACTCCCAACTACCATCTTGTCCTTCACAGGCTTGGGAATGGATTCCAAGGAAAACATGCTATGTGATCTTTCCAGTAACTGAAGCGAGGCTAATGAGTCTACAGTTCCTGGTCATCCTTCTTGCCTCTTCTAGAACGTATGCAAGGCTAGTCTTCTTCCAAGCATCAGGAATCTTCCCACAAATTTGAACATTTATAGTGGGTTGACCCAGGCTAGATACTGGGTGCCCACCCAAAGCCACTCTGTCACTCCCCTCCTCAGCTGAACAGGGGAGAAAAAATACAACAAAAGGCTCATCAGCTGAGATTAGGACAGGGAGAGATCACCCACTGATTACTGTCATGGGCAAAACAGACTTGACTTGGGGAAAGTAACTGAATTTATTACCAGTCAAAATCAGAGTAGCATAATGAGAAGTAAAACAAATCTTAAAAATACCCCCACCTCAGCTCTCCCTCCTTCCTGGGCTCTATCTCCTCCCCATGAGAGGAAGAGAGATGGAGAATGGGGGTTACAGTCAGTTCACACCTTATTTCTGCCACTTCCTCCTCAAAGAGGGGAGTCCTTCCCCTGCTCCAGTGCAGGTTCCTCCCATAGAAGACAGTCCTCCATGGACTGGTCCAACATAACTCCTCCCTACAGGCTACAGTATACTTCCTTTGGAACTGCTCCAGTGTGGAACCCTTTGTTCATGGGGTGTAGTCCTTCAGGAAAAGGCTACTCCAGCGTGAGTCCCCCACAGGGTCATATGACCTACCAGGAAATCCACTCCAGCAGGGCTTATCTCTCAGGTCTACCAGGAGCCTGCTCTGGTGTGGTCACCACTTCCTTTCAGGCATCCACCTGTGTGTGTCTCCTCCATGGGCAGCAGGTGGATCTCTGAACCCCTGCTGAGCCCCCTGGACTGCCAGGAAACAGCCTGTCTCAGTAGGTCTGCAGGCAAATCTCCTCTTTGGAATGTCGAGCACCTCCTTCCCCTACTTCTTCACTGACCTTTGTGTCTGCAGGGCTGTTCCTCTCACATATTCTCACTCAGCTCTTCTCTGGCCACAGCTACCTTTGTACAAAGAGGCTCTTTTCATTCCCCTTCTTAAAGATGGTTTCACCGAGGTACAACTACCATCGCTGACGGGCTCAGCCTTGGCCAGTGGCAGGTCCACTCTGGAGCTGGCTAGCAGCGGCTCTCTTGGACACGGAGAAAGCTTCTGGTTTCTCACAGATGCCACCCCGGCAGCCCCTGCCACTCTCAGAGAAAGCCTTGTCACACAAACCCAAAACAATGTGTTATCAAAGGAACACGTGGTCTGGTGATCTGCAGCTGCTGCCCCTTACCTTCCCTGACTATGCCAGCACAGAGATCAGGAAAAAGACTGCAAAGTTCTTCTTACACTCCTTTTGACAATTCTGACTTCTGTAAAAAAACCCAAATCCCCAACAACTTGCACAGATTAGAAGTCACCATATTTACACAAGAACAATGAGGAAACATCGAATTGTAAATTGCCTCGTTTTACTCGACAGTGTTGGGTTTTCTTAATTAAGAAGAACATGAGCAGAACCTCGAGAACAACCATAAAATGTGGAGATTATTACTTTTGTGGCGCTTACCTGCAGTACGAGACACGCTGCCCACATAGCGCACAGTCCCGTAGTCGGTGCCACAGGCGACCCGCCGACCCAGCGCGTCGGGAGGCAGCCCGGCAGCCATCCCGGGACCGCGGGAACCGGGCTGCTCCCAGACCTGCAGGCACAGGAGAAACGCCCTTAACACACGCGCAAGCCGCAGTTCTCACAACGCCCTTCCTTGAGCTGCTCTTTTGCCGCCGGGCTGCAGGCGGCTCCCTCGCGGCGCTGCCCCGTGCCGCTCCCGCTCCCGGAGCAGGCTCCTGCGGGGCCGCCGCCGCCGCTCACGCACCGGCGGCGCCGCTCCTCTACCGCACTTCCGCCCTGCGCCGCGCGGCACTCTCCGCCCCGCCCCGCCCGGCTCTCGGAGCGCTCCGATTGGCCACGAGCCCCACGGCAGCTCTGCCCTGGCCCGCTATTGGTCCGCCCCGCCCTCTACCCTGCTCGAGTCACCGCCTCCGGGGCAAATCGGCCCGGGGCTTCGCCGCCGCGGAGCTTTCTGGGTAACGGTGTTCACCGAGGTAGCTCCGCCACGCGGGCTTGCTAGCCCCGGACTACAGCTCCCAGAATGCCGCGGGGCGAAAGGCGGGCGCTCTGACTGGGCGAGCCGGGCCCGCGGGGCGGTGCCGCGGTGTCCCGCCCGTCCCGGGAATTGTGCCTCCCTGGGAATAGCCGCGAACTTGCGGCGGGCTGTGAGGAGAAAGGAAAGATGCCCCGGGGAAGCGCTGCTGCGGTGGGCAAAGCCCTGCGGCACCGGTGAACCGACACTGAGCAGGAGGTGGTTCAGAGTCCGTAGCTCAAGGCTGGGGCGCACTCCCGGGAGCAGCGGCTGAGGAGAACTCGGGAGACCCGCTGAGCAGTAGAGCTCCCCGGAGCACCCCCGGGCCAGGGGGACTCCCAAACGGTGGTATCCTCTGTACGCTGCTACATTTGTTGCTGCATTTATTTCAACATTCAATATTTGGGGAAAATATTCCCTGGGAGATCCAGGAAAATCGAAGTGTCCACTGTGCGCAAGATTAACAGCAAAAAATGGAAGACCTGACTGTGTTCTAGTACCAGTTGGTGAGGAACAGAAATTGAGTAAGAGCTCTTCAGTTTGACAGAGATGGGTATGGCAAGATCTAAGAGCTGTGTTTATAAAAATCAAAGTATTGTAACTGATGTTTTTCACCTTTTTAATCTCTTGTGTTTCATAGTTCAATGTCTCATAACAGCTTAATGCAAACAATATAATTTGAATGTTGGCATCACGAAGACTGGAACAATCATGACAGTAAATAATCAAGCAGCTCTTTCAGTCCTAGAGCTCCATTACATTAAATCTGTCTGTTCTTCTGGCAGGCAGCATATTAGTACCCTTTACTCTGAGGCTGTGACACTGACTACACAAATCGAGTATGGGTATTTGGTAACACTAGTACATTCCAATCAAAACAATCTGGATAACGTGTATATTCTTCAGCATGCTGATTTTTAGCATCTTCCAAGTAGCAGGCTTTGAGCTTGCACAAAGCAGCTGCTCCCCAAGGGGACAATCCACCAAAGAACTCTGTGCCTTCGCTTAACCATCCTCCCTTGCCATAGGTAATGTGTTGTTTCAGGACAACTAATAGAATTGGGGGAAAAATTAGATACCCTAGTCCTTCTTCCACATCTTTGGTGGTGCTGCTGTCCCATCTGGGTTCCTAAGCCCACTCATCTCCCACAGAGGGCACTCTTGGAACGATCTACTCCAGTTTCAAGCCATGTAGCTTCAGCTACATGGAAGAGGTACAAGTGAGAGCAGTAAGGCCTCTTGCTGTCCTTTTTGACTCCCCCACTGTTCCCAAGGTGTACTGCCTGACAGGAAAGGCACTGAAAACAAGAAAATACTTCTTGTGATCTTTCTGGCCCCAGCTGCCCTTGTTTTACCCCTAGTTTGACAGGTAATGCAGCCATTCTCACAAAAACTACATGCATGTCGTCAAATTTATTTCTAAAATGATAATGAGAATAGCATTAACTTATTGCTTGTTCTTTCTGTTTCTTTGTACTTCTTGTTTCAGTGTTGTAGTCAACAAATAGCCTCAGCTCATGATCCGCTTGACAAGGAACAGGACAGTCCTAATGCCAATTAAACAACTAGACCAATTTAACATTTTCACATCATTGCCGCAAATTACAACTTCGGCATTTTATAAACACTTAAGTAAAAATGGATTTAGCTTCTGAATTTATTGAACATTCATGCTGGTTGGTGTAAAAGGTAAGAGATTAGGTTTATAGCAGAGTTTTTACACTTCTGTGAATATCAATGACAATTCCTCTGTATGGCTTTTACTTTGACCTGTACATTCCATCCCACCCCAAAAATAAAGCAGTTGGCTACAGGTTCTTCAGTCAAAACCACAGGAAAACCGTTTGAATTAGTTCCATGCTTCATATAGTAACTCTGCAATTATAGGAAATTCTACTTTTAAAGAACTTCAAGGTTTTTTTCCTTGCAAACCTTTTCCCCCTCCAATCTGTTCACACAGGCTTGGTGTCAGCCTGGTTTTAATAACTCCAGTCACTGAAAGATTATGCTCCCTCAGCCAACAGAAGTTCTCTGTGGAAGAGCAGAGATCACAAGAGAATAGGAGAGGTTTTATGTATTTCAAAATATATAAACAAAATGTATGCATTTGCCATTATACAGACTTCAGTAATTACCGAGTCATTAAGCAGCTCACACTACACGCTCAAGAAATAGCAACTGAAGCATTATGGAGTGAAAATGACCTACTGTGCGCAAGAGATGATGCAGCTACTAAACTGTCAGCATGTAATTGGTATACCAATGAGTCAAGCATTTTCCTGGAACTCAAAAGCACATAATTATCTATGATTTCCCTTCACCTCAGAGTTAGTCTTCTACACAAATTCATGTCAGGTTTTGTAGTGCTTTCCCTGGAAGTGTCACATTAGGCCTTCTTGGTGAATCTCCCATGGCTCTCTATGCTGTACTAAACAGAGATAATCAGTAAATACCTTTTCAGTAGGTTAACTAAGAATGTACTTGTTCCATAGGGAATACAGGTGAGGAACACTATCAGGGTTAATGTAGTTTAACCTGCATCTTTATTAGAAGTTTTACAGATTATATGCTTGAAGTGAGTTGATGAATCATGGATTATTCCTAGACACACCTCAACAAGGTGCCTCTGAAGTAATTTTAAAATAAGTACTGCAGAAAAGGTTGAACACTGATGCTCAGCTATGATAAAACTTTTTCAGGAAGGATGTTAATGTGAGGTAGCAATCAACTCAAATAGGCACATGGCAGATAATGTTTCCCTGACTTCAAGAACAGAAAAATTGTTAAGACAAAGAAAGATAAAGTAATGAAACAATGTACTCTTTTATCTGTACCTTTAATAAAATCTTTAGATGATATATTCAAGTTACATAAATAATTATCAGAATAAATAATTTTTAACTTAAGTATCTCTCACAGTCTATTTGGGAAGCTCAGAGAAATTAACCACATACTTTAGCTTTTCATAACTAAGTTGAGTAAATTCTGTAAAAGAAGGCAAAATTACATGAGGCAGCCTCAGGAGGCAAAACTGAGTTTTCTTATTCTGAAATCCTTTCCTTGTCCTTTGTCCACCTGCCAGCTCTGGCTTTCATCAGGCTCTTGCTGAGTGGGATAATTCATTAACCTGGACAAAAATTAACTTCTCTCCCTCAGGGCTAGTGAGTTAAGTTCATTCATAAAAAGACCTAACAGGCATTACTACCAAAGCAAAATAGATCTTGAAAGCAAACAAATAGGGCAGGGAAAGTAGCTCAACCTACATGAGACAAAAATAATTTATGGTCATATAAGACGTTACAGGCTTTAGCTTCCTGGGAAAAAAGTTTCAGGCATTTTGAGGTTGCAGAAAATCTTGGATTAATCTTGAATTACTTTTGTGAAGGCAAATGATGAGCCAAGATTCAACATTTCAAAAGTAGACCCAGACTATTAAGTTTGTCCAGGATCAAAACCTAGTTTGATGGCACTGTGTGCTTGGTATTAAGAGCAGAATAGAAACATAGGTGAAGGAATTACAGTGAAAGTACTGAGCAAATAATACAAAGAGCATAGTAAATACCAAATCTGAAATGTAAAATGATGAAGATGGAACAAAGAAGAGCAACAGATGCCCATATGGCACATGAATAAAAGCCTGGCCCAATTCAGTGATAAAGGCATGTTAAAGTTCAAACCAGTTTTACATGAGAAATGCAAACCCCCTCACAAACTGCATGTTTTTATACCTTGCTAGCATTTTAACAGTAACTGAGGAAAACAGCCATTAATACAGGAAATTTCCATAGCACACGTAGCCAGATTAACAAAACTAACAAAAAAGCAGAAACAATTCACAAAAAAAGCAAAAACATAAAGAACAGCCAACAGTTTCTTTCACACTAACATTTCTATGTTGCTTGTATCAACAACTGGCTGATACACACAAAGTTGCTCTGAGTGGGTACCTAAACAGCCTAAGTTCAAAAGGAGAGGAGAAAGCTGTCTCCTCAGGAAGGTCTTGAAATAGTGCAATTTTCATCCTAACTTTTTCATTGACAGGATAAACATAAGCCTATGAAAAAGCAAAGACAGATATCCCATCCAATGGCTGGCTACTCTAAGACAGGTGACAGCACTCATTTTCATCCAAGCAAGAACAAAATCAGAAAACAGACTAGTTTTGGCAGTGAGGACTGCTGAGGTAGTGGGGAATGCTCCAGACTGATAAGTATTTGCATTTCTCTTAATATGAACTGCAAGAACTAAATCCCCAGGAAATGCACCGATAACCTGATCAAAGTACAACTTGCTGGCAATGGCAGGAAGATAAGGGGAATGATTCTGGCTCAAAGGGACTGACATTGAAATCAGCATCCCCTTTGTTTCCCCGTGGGCACCTCCACTTGCAAATTGGATTGCCATTCTACAACAGTGCATATTTTATGAAGATCAGGAAAAATCCCTACTCCCTGTATTGTGGGAGGCATAGCAACAGAGGGGCACTCACACAACTAATTGTGCAGTCACAAGAACTCCCATGCTGCTTTAAAGAAGGGTTTTTCTTAACACTGCTTAAC